GCTGACGTGTCCTGTGTAGTCAGGCCTGTGATTGAATCTGTGCTGAACATGTACAGACTCTTACCATCATTCCCGAAACGATACAGTACAACAGTCACGGCATTTACAGTGGGGCCTTGACTTACGAGTGTCCCAACTAACGAGTTTTTTGAGATACCAGCTGTCTCTCGGCCGATTTTTTGCATTGAGCTGATAGAGTAATTTGAGTTAACGAGCTCCTTAACGAGCTCGGTCTCGGAACAAATTAAACTCGTAAGTCACGGCCCCACTGTACATGCATCGGGGACTCAAGTCTCTACGGAGACGGAGACGATGTGAAGTGCACAAGAGGGTGAGGGTCACCGCAAACACTACCGTTTATGGGGGGACTTGAGCTTCCTCCATGTGGTCCCCGGGGGGCGTCTGGGAGCGACCTCCGCAGATGCCGAGGGCAGGCTGTGGTTGTACATAATCGTTCGGTGACAGAAAGCCGTTTCTTTTCCGGGATGATTTAAGGGTTTTCTCTTTGAATTTTTCAGATCGTCGGTGCACGGAGTGTCATTCGATATTTCTTTCGATAAAGAAAACACAGTGCCGAGAGGCGCCCCGAACCGAGGCCTCCCCCGCTCCGTCAGCAACGAAGGCCTTTCTCTGAACAACAACCGAGCGTCCAAAACCACGAAGAAGAGCCTGTCCTTCCAGCCCGTCAACGGGGAGGGGGCGGCCGGCAGCATCGAGGAGGAGCTGAGCACAGACCCCCCAGGCTTCCCCACCTACGTGCCCCACCCCCCGCACAAGCTCAGCTCCAGCGAGAACACCCGCTACCAGCTCCCCAACGGAGCCCTGCAGCCCGGGCTGCTCCTGGACGAGCTGGGCAACCAGGTGGAGACGCCGAGCATCGAGGAGGCGCTGCAGATCATCCACGACACGGAGCAGCGCCCCCTCGCGCCCCCGCCCGGCCACGTGGCCAATGGCTTCTTCCTGCACAGCCGGGACCTGAGCCCCCTGAACGCCAACCTGCAGCTGCGCCCGCCCAGCCCTGACCGCCTGACCGACACCAAAGGTGCCTTGAGCCCCGTGACCGACGACACCGAGGTGGACACCGGCATCCACGTGCCGTCGGAGGACCTCCCGGGCACGGTGGACGAGGACTCCTCGCTGCGGGACTACACCGTCAGCCTGGACTCCGACATGGACGATGCGCCACGCGCGAGGCCCCGAGCCCCTGCCCCAGCACCGTGAGCACCCGCTCCCAGCCCGCCAGCAGCGCCTCCTCCAGCTCCGGCGTCAAGATGACCAGCTTTG